TCATCCTTCTTCTTGTCATGGTCCTTCTTCTTCTTTCTCTTGTCATCATCGTCATTATCGTCATCTTTGTCATCATCCTTCTTGCCGCCGTGCTTCTTATCATCGTACTTTTTCTTGTCATCATCGCCCCTAACAAGAAGTGTCACATCCCGAGCGTATTCATGGCTCTCTGGGACTAAGTCCCTGACGTAGTGGCTATCATCGCGGCCGATGAGCGCTGGCAAAGCAGCTACTAGGCCGATGCTGAGGAGCACGACGAGATAAAGCTGCATGAGCTTCATGTTCGGTTGATGCTACGGGTGGAAAGCCTTGTTGATGGAATGTTTCAGACGAGGTGGCAGTGAAAGACGATCAATTGGAAGCACTCTGGAAGAAGCCTTGACTCAAAGACCGAAGACGACCGTTACCCTAAAGATTTAAAGTCAAGCCGGAGAGGTTGAGGCCCTTTATAGCCAGACTTGTTACACTACACCTAGCTATGACGGAGTTTGCATGGTATAGCTACACCGTCGCTGTACGTGAGCTTACACGGCCTCTATGCCCCCGCTGCAGATAGGCTTGCGCGGCCTCCAACTCAGACAGCCCCTAAGAGTATGCATCAAGCCTGCGTCTCCAACCAAGCCTGCGGAGTTGCGAAGGTCCTGAGTTGGGCAGAGCTGAGATGACTGGCGATCACATTGGCACAGCTGCGGAAGAGCTATTCGAGTTTTATCCCTGGCTTTCACAAGCGTATCTATGGATTGACGAGAACCTCCTGGATACCTAGCGCATCGACTAGAGCAGCCTTGCTAATTGTGTTACTCTTAGATAATTTGAACATGGATTCTTTATGCTCATAATCTTAGCTCGAACTCTAGTAAGCGTCAACTCCCGCTGCGGAGATCTGCAGTCATCTCTAGGAATATTTGAAATGGTTCACGAATCCTACTGGAGCTTCCGCGCACTTCGCGAGGGGAAGCTTGGTATTTAGCCAAGTCGAACTATCGTGTGACGTTGTAAAGCCATTCTACTTTATGGGCTCTCTGGGGACGCTAGAATCCTTAGGCTTAGAAGAGTACGACTATATCAGGACTAGCGCGAATCTGGGGACAACAACGGGCCGAT